TCAAGACTGCCCCGCCGCCGCGCCGAAGCGGCTGAGGCCCTGCCTCGTGCCCTCACTCTGGACGACGAAGCCGGCACCCGCCCTGCGCTCGGCTCCTCCGTGCGGACCCGCCGCCGTCCCGGTGGCGTTGCCGGGCATCCCCTGGTGGCCGCCCGTGATCGGCAGGCCGAGGACCAAGCACGACACCACGCAAGTCAGCGCGACGCCGCTGATGTCCATGATGACCTGGATGGTGGCCCCGGCGTGCGCCGGGTCCAGCCGCAGCCTGCTCAAGAGCAGCGGCAGCGCCGCCCCGACGACCGTGGACACGAAGACGATGGCGAGCATGGACAGGCAGATCGCGAGGCACTCCTCGCCCCTGACCTGAAACAGCACGCACCGCACGAACGTGCCCAGGAAGAGCACCAGCGCGAGGCGCGCGCCGACCGACACCTCCGAGGCCACGATGTGCCGCAGCGAAAACCTGTCGTCTGGGGTCTCGCCCTTCCGCTTGCCGACCGTGGCCAGCGCCAACTGCCGCACGACCAGCACGGTGCTCTGGCTGCCCGCGTTCCCGCCGGCGCCAACCAGCATCGTGAGAAAATAGATGACGACGGGGTGTGACCGGATGAGCAGGTCGAAGCGCTCCAGGATCAGGGAGGAGGTCGACTGGAACATCAGCAGGAGGATCAGCCAGCCGGCCCGGTGCCAAAACTTGTGCAGGCTCTCCGTATCTGAGTCCAGGTCGCCGCTCAGTTGCCGCACCAGGGGCTCGTGGTCTCGCTCGCCTGCGCCGCCGCAGCGCCGCGCGGCGGGCCGACCCGCCGCGGCCGCCGCCGAGCCGAAGCCGCGATGCCGCACCTTCCGCTCGTCGTCAGAAGGCGGGGTGCCGCAATGCGACGGCGACGAAGTCTCCTCCAAAAGAGCTGTGAGCTCCTCCTCGTGCGCCATGGACAGCCCCCGGCACAAGCGCAGCTGTGCCAAGGCGAAGCTTGAGCCAAAATGGCTACGGACAGCAGTTTATGCTTATGGCGTGTTGTCTACTTTGAGCCGAACCCGTCGACCTGGTAAACGGGGACACGTGTCAAGCACCCCAGGAGGCACTGGACTCCTTGCGAGAGGCCGAGCCTGTCGGACGGCCGGCGCCGTCGACACTTGCAGGACCACGGGCGGAGAACAGGGCGCAGTGGAGGACGACGCGACGCAGTCGTCCAACAACGGGGTGAGAAGATGCTATATGGCCGATTTCGGAAACCCTGAATCCTCAACATTTTTCATACCTGGGGGGCGCATGCTTTACTTCGGCCGCCTTCCACCGGCCTTCCGCCGGCTTCCGCTGGCGGAGGCGGCCTCGGGTTACCTCCGCCGCCCTTCCGCCGCCTTCCACCGCGGAAGAGATGGCAACTCCATCGATCCTCGAACGCAATGCTCTGTCTGGAACGCTTCATATACGACCTGCATGGGCATCTTGGTACAAGTGAAATTGATGTCTGCTCCTGCTCCCTTTCGGGGGGGGAAAATTAAGAATTCTGCGTGTGTGGAACGGGGGGGGGGGTGAGCCGCATGCATGCGGCAAGACATGCAGCGTAGAGGTGCGCAGCGCGACACTGCTAATCAACAACGGTTCGAGCAAGAACGCCTTGGGAATGTGCAAGACATGGTGTTGACTAAATCGGAAACACGTACGAGTAAGAGCTGAAGCTTCAAGCAGATTAGTGCGTGAAATCATTCGCAGTAGCAGCAATGACAAAATGCAACTCGACGAACTCCTGACCATGATGGGAAAATGCATCAAGAACACGTTTTTGTATTCGATCTGGTACTCCAGCTTCTTGGAACCTCCATTGCACTGAAACTCAATCATAGAGCGCTTACTCCAGATTTCGTAATAAAGGGGAGGGGGTCTCATTTCGGGGGGGGTCTCTTCCAGGCTATCTTGGAGGGCCTGAAGGGGTCTGGGGACGACGTTTCGGAGGGTTCTCCAAGGGGGGAGGTCTAAAACTTCTCGTCTGGGAGGGTCCAGACCCCCTCCCCTTTATTACGAAATCTGGAGTAGTGAATGTCAATATCATGGAGCCTAGAAGCCCACTGAGAATGCTGCAACCGTCCTGTGCAATACAAGCCCACTATACTTCTGCACGCCCCTTCTTCGCGGCAGCACCGTACTCCCTCCTGATGTCGTCCGATCGTTCCTTCCTCCTGCGCTCACTCCTATCCAGCGCTTGCCGACCAGACAACACCTAAACTCCAGACTTCGTAATAAAAGGGAGGGGGTCTGGACCCTCCAAGACAAGCCATTTCAGACCCCCCCCCGTGGGAGAACCCTCCAAAACATCGTCCCCAGACCCCCCCAGGCCCTCCAAGATAGCCTGGAAGAGACCCCCCCCGAAATGAGACCCCCTCCCTTTCATTACGAAATCTGGGGTATATACATGAAGCACACACTGCGGCACGCTTGATGTGTCGGGTCTGACATCGTGGCGTCTCTGCTCCAGGAGCCTGCACCTGGCATTTGCACCGAGGCTGCGGTGCCTTGTCCAAGAACATTTCGCCCCTCATTCAACCTCGGACCTATTTGCCAAAGGTGGCGACACTCTCCGCGCAACCTCCCGTGCTATACACGCGCACGGGATCCATTTTCAGAGGATGCTTGCTTTGGGAATTCGAGCTCGGCGTGGCCAGCCTCGGGACGGCTCTGCGGTGCCGTGGCTGGGACTCGACGGTGCAGCCGCACGCGGACTGGCCGAGGGCCGCGATGTCCAACCTGAAGGGCATGCGGAGAACCGGGAATGTGCAACTCACAGATTGGCTCCTAGATCGTATCGTGCCGCAGCTGACGAACAATCCCCCGCGTGGCCGTCGAACGCTGGTGCGCATTTCACAACACATGGAACTCCCTAGCCACAGGTCGGGCCGCTGGGCTCAGATCGGCAATCGGGGCGTCCGAGGCTGATGTCTACGAAGACGGCTGCAATCGACAGAACCGCTGGAGAGCCCGCCTGTCGAAAAGAGACAGACGGATGGAAAAACCGAACTGCGACCGGGCAACGAGGACTCAGACACCAGCATCTGGCATGATCCCGGTACCGCGGCTACCCAGACCTCCGACGCCGCGCTTTTTCTCCCCTCGTGCCCCTGGAACTTTCGACCCCAGACCCGGGGGATAGCTGCTTCACCACGGGCCGTTTTCTACCAGTCAATCCTGCTGCCCGAAAGGGCCCTCGGGCGCCAAACCCTAACCACAGCTGTCTGTTGAGTTCATTGTTCGGCGACGTCTTGCAGTCTGGGTAGCCAGCCGCGCGCCCGTCCAGCCCGCCGTCTTCGTTCAACTGATAGACCGAGTGGTGGACCTTCACGAAAACCGACGCCGCGTACGACAAGTTTCGCAGGCGCGCCTGGGCCGGAAAGGCCATGGGAGGGGCGAGCGGGAAAGAGATGTGCAACAGAAACAGCCAAAACGTCCAACTCGCTCTCGGTCCTCGAAGACGCTTCCCGTCATCCGCCGACCGTCGGCGTGTGCGAGGGATAATATCACTCGGAGCTCTTTTGTCCCTGTGCCCACCCCGAGGCCCCCTCCTCAGGAGCTGGTCCCCCTTGTCCCTGCGAACACTTCGAGTTCCCCAGACTCGCTAGCCCTCCTCCTCCTCCTCCTCCGCCTCCTCCTCCTCCCCCTTCTCCTCCTCTCCCTCCTCCTCCTCTCCTCCTCCTCCTCCTCCTCCTCCTCCCCTCCTCCTCCTCCTCCCTCCTCCTCCTCCTCCTCCTTCCTCCCCCTCCCTCCCCCTCCCTCCTCCCCCTCCTCCCTCCTCCTCCTCCTCCTCCTCCTCCTCCTCCTCCTCCTCCTCCCGAGGTGCGAATCGACACGGGTCGTGATCGGATCGAAGGAAGAGAGCCACTCTCCCGCCACGGGGCAGGGTCCAAGGGGAGGCCCCGGAGGCTGGCGACCCCCCCTCCTTGAGGAGAGCAGGAGGAGGGGGAGCAGAGGGGGGGGGGAGGAGGAGGAGGGGGGAGAGGAGGGAGAGGAGGAGGAGTGAGGAGGAGGAGGAGGAGGAAGAGGAGGAGGAGGAGGAGGCCACCCCTCTCTTGAGAACCTCGGGCGGTCGCGGCAGAGGAGCAAACCACGGCATCACCACGCACTTTGGACGGTTCGCGCGGGCTTCTGGTCCAAGGGGAGGCCCCGGAGGCTGGCGACCCCCCCGCCCACCCCTCTCTCGAGAACCTCGGGCGGTCGCGGCAGAGGGGCAAACCGCGGCATCACCACGCACTTTGGACGGTTCGCGCGGGCTTCTTGGATCTGCGCTGGGCCCCCCCCCCCCTCGCGCATGGAGCGCGCCAGGGGCGGCGCCGGAGGCGCCGCACAAGGGGGGGTCCCAGCGCAGTGCCAAGACATCCGCGCGGACCACCAGAAGTTTATGTCTACTTGGTGTTTCGTTTTTCGGCTTGGGGGCCACTTTCGCCATCTTTGGGCCACCCAGGCCCGCTGGAGCTCTCTCGGGGCGAGCCTCGGCTTATCTCGGCGCTCGTGGGGGCCCCTCGGGTTGAAACCCTGTGGGCGGGCCCAAAGGGCCCAAATCAGCAGAAGGCCGCAAGATGCTGCGTGGCTTTCAGATTCTCGCCGCGTCAGTCGCAAGAGCGCCGAAGACAGCCCAAGAAACCACCAATACCGGCCCAAGATTGCCCAAGAGGCCTCCAAGAGATGTCAAAGATGCCCCCAAGGCAGTCCCAAGACGCCGCGCCGCTGGAAACCAACCCTTCCAAAATGAATTTCAATTCGCCCAGTGGGCCCCCACCAGGCCCCAAGAAACCCGACAACGCACCCAAGAGGCGCCCGAGTGGGCCACGAAGGCCGCTGGACGCTTTAAAAAAAGCTCCCGAAAGCCCCGAACATGTTCCCGAGGCATTTACTCAACGCGTGCGCAGAGACAGAATGGGCCGAAGTCCACCAGATTCCAGATTTTCGCCCTCGCAGTAATCTCGCCGCTGCCGCTTGCCCCGTCGCCCCTCCGCCTCTTGCGCACAAGCAGCTCTCCTCCCAGAGCTCGGCGGAACTGGTCGCTAGGCTTTTGCAATCAGACACAAGCAAGTCGGCATTCTCGATCGAATGGGCGATCGACCCAATAATCCCGGTCCCAACATCGCGCCTCTCCAGGTGGAATGCCCGATGCAATTGGAAAGTCAGCTGCGCGAGGAAGAACATCTCTTCAATTTCAATGCCCTTCAAGCCGCGTGGGGGCGAGGCGTGATGCGGGGCAAAGGTGCTTGTCGACGGCTCGCCTGTCGATGATCATGCTGCGCTGCGCGCTGACTGACCGCGGAGAAGAAATGGAGGAGGGAATATCACATCGAATCGAAACGGCGGGCCGCGAAAGTATCACATTCAGGCAGCAGTTGGGGGGAATGGCGCACCGCACGAATGTGGCAGCCCAAACCGCCGGCTCTGCGGGCTACCCTGAAACAGGGGGTACACGATGCAGGGGAACACGGAAACGTCTGGATGGGACGAGTGAGCAGCATCACCCGTCCGAGGCTCGATCGCTTAACGTCGGTATCGGAGAGTTCCGCACTCGTCAGCATAAAAAAATCGGGGATAGACAGACCCCCCTTTAGCAAAACGTGGTTTAGCATAAACGACCCGAGGCCCAAACCCGGCGGGCGCAAGCCTGGAAACTAACGGCCGCAGCGCCCTCTCGAGAACCGGACACGGACAATTCACTAATCGACGTGTCACTGTTGGGGGTTCTGTCCACCCCCGACAAAAGAGAGAGAGAGAGAGAGAGAAAAAAAAAAAAAAGAGAGAGAGCCGGGGGGGCCCAGGCGAAGAAGTCGATCCACGCCCGCCTGGCCTGCTCTTGCTCTCGGGCCGCCCGCTCCCCCAGGGCGGGGCGCGCGAAAAGCAGGGCGGAGGAGGAGGCACGACGAGGAGGGAACGACAGGGAGAGGAGAGGCGAGGAGGGGGGGACCCGGGACGAGGCGCGGAGAAGACGCCTCGTGCTGCGGCCACCGGGGGCACGGCCGAGCGCCACAGGCGGCCGCCTCTGCAGGGCTGCCGCATGCGTGTGCGCGCGAGCGCGGGGCGCGGACGTGCGGCTGTCCGCGCGCCCTCCCCCCCCCCTCCTCCTCCTCCTCCTCCTCCTCCTCCTCCTCCTCCGTCTCCTCCTCGTCCTCCTCCTCCTCCTCCTCCGCCTCCTTCTCCTCCTCCTCCTCCTTCCCCTCCTCCTCCTCCTCCTCCTCCTCCTCCTTTTCCTTTTCCTCCTCCTCATCCTCCTCCTCCTCCTCCTCTTCCTCTTCCTCCTTTCTGAGAAGAAAGGGGGCGGGGGGGGAGTGGGGAAGGAAGGAGGGGGGAAGGGGTGCGGCGGGAGCCGGCGGGAGGATGAGGGAAGGGGCCGGGTGGGGAGGAGTGGGGGTGCTCGGGAGAAGGAGGGGGGGCGTAGGACCGGGAGGGGAGGAAGGAGGGGGCGGGGGGGAGGGAGGGTCGGGAGGAAGATGGGGCGGGAGGAAAACAATTACGAGGAGGAACGCACCCACATACACACGCACACACACACCCACACACATACACCCACACACATACACCCACACCGATACACCCACACCCACGCCCACGCACACACACACACACACAACCGCGCACACACACATTCACATTCGCATTCACATTCGCATTCACATTCACATTCACATTCACATTCGCGTTCGCGTTCACATTCACATTCACATTCACAATCACATTCGCATTCACATTCACATTCTCACACACACACACACACACACACACACACACGCCCGCACGCCCGCACGCACGCACGGACGCGACGCACACGCACACGCACACGCACGCGCACACGCACACGCACACGCACATGCACGCGCACTCGCACACGCTCACGCACACGCGCGTCCTTACTTCCTATGATTAAACATCCCCACATCCCCACCTAGCCGGCCGATAGCAACCCCGCCGTCCTAACTGTCAGCAGCGCAACACAAACTCAATTTCTTTCTCGCCAACATGTCGTCGAGTTACGAAAAGTGTAGCACGAACGGGGCGGAATGCACATCGCTTGGGTAACCCTAAGTGGGTGGTCGCGTCCTACCCATCAAAACAATACAACATCAACGTTTCTCTCGTCAACATGGACATTCTTGTCGTCGACGCTGCGAGAACTGTAGCAGAAAAAAGGGGACGCGGCGCGCATCGCGCGAGGACGCCTGGCCAACCCTACGCAGGGCCCCCCGTCCTACCTGTCCAAAAAAAAACGCAGCGTCGACATTTGTTGTTGCCAACATGTACTTCCTTCTCGTCGGCGCTGCGAATCGCGAAGCGGGAATGGGACGCCCCACGAATTCCCAAGAGGCATTCGCCTCTTCCTCATCAGTTTCTCCTCCCTCCCCCTTTCCCTCCCCTCCTCCTCCTCCTCCTCCTCCTCCTCCTCCTCCTCCTCCTCCTCCTTCCCCTCCTCCTCCTTCCCCTCCTCCATACGCGGCAGGAGCGAAACGATTGGCGGTACAACACGCGTGGCTGGAATGAGACGCGGCGCACTTCGCGCGCTGGACATGTTGCCGCCGACGGTGCAACATGAGAGGCCTGAGCGGGGCGCAGCGTACATCGCGCGCGGTCTTGTTTCTCGTCGGCTTTTCTCAATACGCGGCAGGCATCGGACGCAGGTCGTGTCGCGCGCTGGTCGTCTAGCCGGCCACGATATAAAATGAGCGACAGGCGTCGGACGCGACGCACTTGTTTCTTATGTTGTGGGAGGGCGGGTGGGAGTGGACGGAGCCCTTGGCTCGTTCGAGCTGGCTAACTTGGACGCACACCCCCACCCCCACCCACCCCCACCCCACCCCCACCCCCACCCCACCCCCACCCCCACCCCCCACCCCACCCCACCCGCCCCGCACCCGCACCCGCACCCGCACCCGCACCCGCACCCGCACCCGCACCCGCACCCCCCGCACCCGCACCCGCACCGCACCCGCACCCGCACCGCACCCGCACCCGCACCCGCACCCGCACCCGCACCCGCCGCACCCGCACCCGACCCGCACCCGCACCCGCACCCGCACCCGCACCCGCACCCGCACCCGCACCCGCACCCGCACCCCGCACCCGCACCCGCACCGCACCCGCACCCGCACCCGCACCCGCACCCGCACCGCACCCGCACCCACCCACCCACCCACCCACCCACCCACCCACCCACCCACACACCCACACCCACACCCACACCCACACCCACACCCACACCCACACACACACACCACACACACGCACGCACGCACGCACGCACGCACGCACGCACGCACGCACGCACGCACGCACGCACGCACGCACGCACGCACGCACGCACGCACGCACGCACGCACGCACGCACACGCACACACAAACACCCACACACACATGCACACGCACACGCACACGCACACGCACACGCACACGCACACGCACACGCGCTCGCGCACGCACGCACACGCCCGCCCGCACGGACGGACGCACACACGCACACACGCACACAAACATCTGCATGGGCACTGTTTCGGAGGCTCCCGAGAACTAAGCGGACCCAGGACGTCAAGAAATCGCCTGAGGGGATGATACGAGGAGGGGCAGGGGGGAGGGGGCACGGCGGAGAATGTGAGGGAAGCGGACAAGTCGACCCGATGATTTTCGCGCGCCTAAGTCCAATACTGAATAAGCATGCAGAGACATCGGGAAGGCATGGCTAAGTTGTAGCTTGCTGCCCAGGACGCCCCCGCCCCCCACCCCCTCCGGGCAACGCCTGAGTACAGGACGCGCCGTGCGCCCGAAATCGGGTCAAGTCGAGCCACCTCGTGCCAAACTGTTCTAACACCGTTCGCTCCCCTCGGAGAGTGGTTTGCCCACCTCCTCCCTCCTTCCCCAGGTCTGGACGGGGAGGGGAGATGCGGCAGAAGGTCCTCTCTGGCCCAAGAGGCTTCCAATATTGCCTCACATCACCCGATCTGGCCTCCAAAATGGCGCAATACCCACACACATACATATATATATATATATATATAGTTATATACATAGATATATCGAATTGTCCCAACATGACGTCCGTTACACATTGGAGGGGCAACGATATGATTCGATCGCGACTTCAAGGGCCCTCGGCCGAGAGGACGCCCTCAACTGGCCAGCACTTGTTGAGCCATCAGTCAGCTCGTCCAATGATCTTGAATGTATCGCCTTTTCGCTTTCCATGGCCACCGGATGCCTCATCATGGTCTCAAGATCGCCCAAGAAAGCCACACGACGGGGCCAGAAGGGCTCCGAGGGGGGTCCCGACGACCGCCAAGAGCGCCCCGAGGGCGCCCCAGGAGCGCCACAAGCGGGACCCGCGAGGCGGTTTGTTCGGTCTCCCAAGGGGGGATCCTAATGGGGGAGGGGCTTGCTTTTGGATCGAGGCGCTTCAAGATGGCCCGCAAGAGCGCCCCCTGGGCCGCAAGAGTACCTCGAGGGATTCCTAAGGTGAACCACAAACTGCGCATATTGCCCCCGCAAGATCCCGCGAATGCCCCGACAGGTTAGAACCGCGAAAGATTCGGAAAAGCCTGCCTGGTTGACTTTTGTTGTCGTCGTCATAGTCTTTGCCTTATTCCTTCCCCATCCTCCTCTGGCATCCTCCAAGCATTCATCCGCACGGTCCTAATGGCTACAGTGAGCGAAAGCCTTTACGATTGACTCCTCGTTTCCTTGTGACTCATCGATATCACGGACAACCTCAGGAGCGGACCATCAGGGCTTTCGTGGCGCCTCGACAGCGAAGCCCTTTATTTCTCAATGAAGATGAGATAACTGGCCGATATCAGGAACCTCCCTGGAAAATCAGCTATGGCGAACTCTTGCCCTTCCCTGATGTTGCCACAATGGACTGATGCTTGGTTGACGACTGTGTCCGAGCAGGCTTAACGCTGACTCCTGGATGCGCCGACCCTGCAAGAGGGCCTTCGTCTTCTACGACCGAGTGAGGGGCGTGGGGGTGATACGGCGGATGTTCCTCTCCCCCTCGGTCCCTACCTGGCCAGCTCCAGAAACCCTGAACCCAAAAATGTTGCCATGTCTTGGAGTCAGGGTTGAAAAAAAACGACCCTACCCTGGTTTACAAGTGCGTGGTCTGTAAACCTCCTGGGAGCCCCCAGAGCCTGGAGCCGCCAGGACGCGGCACATCACGCAGGGTTTACCCTGTCAGCCAACAGGAGTTTCAGCGCGCAGCCCCTCGTAAACCAGGGTAGAGCGTTTTTTATGCCCTTGATGGACGGCCGACTTTTTGCTTCTGCTGGCTTCCGCGGGCCTTCCGCCACCTTCCGCCGGCGGAGGCGGCCTCGTGTTCCTTCCGCGGGCGTCTGCCGCCATGCCGCCGAGGAAGAGGTGACAACTCCTTCGGCCTTCCACGGGGAGGCCCTTTCCAGAACGCCTTGCCTGTGTCGACGCATGCTGCCTGACTTCCCTGGGCCCGGCTACTCTCCTGGGAATCGTTCCTGGATGGGCTGGTGGGGATACTTTTTTTCGGTCGCGGCCGCGAGGCAAAGGTCCGACGGCGAGAAGCAAAGTCCGGGGCGCTGGTGGGGATAAGTGAAGCGTCTAGAATTCCCCCCAGATGACGTGCGGTAGGGTGCCCTCAGCGATGCTGACGCAGACTTGGCGAGACGGCAAGGAAGGAAGCTCTGACATTCGAGGGCCAGCGCACCTCTCGAGGAGTCATCATCAACGAAGAGCCATCGGGCTGGTCGGTGGTCGGCTTGTTGAAGTTGAGCTGTCCGAACGACCACTCGTACATCTTCTTGGTGTCGACCGCCTCCTGCGCAAGACAGCTGTGGTGGTGGACAAAAGAACACTGGTAAAAGCGACACTCGCGAAACCAGACCAGCTAGAGCTATTTGGGCGCCCGAGTTATCCGGGGTAACTCGGGTCCGGGGTAACTCGGGTTTGGATTCCCGGAAAAGGAACCCGAGTTAGCCCTGACCCGAATTACCCCTGATGATTTTGGGGCTCTGGACGCCCGAGTTATCCGGGGTAACTCGGGTCCGGGGTAACTCGGGTTTGGATTCCCGAAAAAGGAACCCGAGTTATCCCTGACCCGAGTTACCCCTGATGATTCGGGGCTCTGAGCTATCGTGGTCCTCATGATGTGCTGTCGCTGGTACTGCGAAGGCCGCCGCTGCGACCGGCACTGCCACTTTTACATGCGCCAGCGCCGGGCGCAGCAGGTGGCAGAAGCAGCAGGCTCTTCCAGCTCCTCGCCCAGCTGGCCCTCTCCTCCTCCTCCTCCTCCTCCTCCTCCTCCTCCTCCTCTTCCTCCTCCTCCTCCTCCTCCTCCTCCTCCTCCTCCTCCTCCTCCTCCTCCTCCTCCTCCCCTTCCCCCCCCCTCCCCCCCCCCTCTCCCTCCCCCTCTCCTCCCTCTCCCCCTCCCCCTTCCCCCTCCCCCTCCTCCTCCTCCTCCTCCTCCTCCTCCTCCTCCTCCTCCTCCTCCTCCTGCTCCTGCTCCCCCTCCTCCTCCTCCCCCTCCCCTCTTCCTCCTCCTCCTCCTCTTCTTCCTCCTCCTCCACCTTCTCGTCCTCTAGCCTCCCCCCCCGGCCGCCTTCCCCCCCTGGCCGCCTCCTCCCCCATTGCCCCGCTGGCCAGCGAGGGCTGCCGCAGTGCAGCGCAAAGGGGGGGAGAGGAGGAGGAGGAGGAGGGAGGAGGATGAGGAGAGGAGGAGGAGGAGGAGGAGGAGGAGGAGGGGAGGAGGAGGAGGAGGAGGGAGGGAGGGAGGAGGGGGAGGAGGAGGGGGAGAAGGAGAGGGAGGAGGAGGGGGAGGAGGAGAGGAGGGGGAGAGGAGGAGGGGAGGAGGGAGGAGGGGGAGGAGGGAGGAGGAGGAGGAGGAGGAGGAGGAGGGGAGGAGGAGGAGGAGGAGGGACGACGAGGAGGAGGACGAGGAGGAGGAGGAGGAGGAGGCGGCGAGAGGAGCCGCAGCAGGGGCCAGCAGCAGACGGCCGAGGCGCGCAGGCGCGGAGGAGGACGGAGGCGGAGACGGGCAGAACACGGCGGGGGGGGGGGAGAGGAGCGGAGCCGGCCTGCGCAGCGGGAGCCGGACACAGGGCAAGGGCCGCCAGGAGCAGGGAGGGGAGAGGGAGAGAGAGAGAGAGAGAGAGAGAGGGAGAGGGAGAGAGAGAGAGGGGCAGGAAGCGAGAGAGAGAGGGAGAGGAGGAGAAATAGAGAGAGAGAGGGTTAGAAAGCGAGAGAGAAAGCGAGAGCGAAAGAGAGAGAGAGAGAGAAGCGACAACACACACAAAGGAGGGGAAGCGCGCGGCGGCCGAGGCTGAGACAGCACGAGTGGAGAGAAGGAGGCAGCGCCGAACCACCCGCCCCTGCTTCTTCCGCAGGTGCTGTGTGGAGCATAGCGGGGACAGGTTGCCACCATCACAGCTGAGTGAGTCCAATAAGCATAGGGGACGCCACTGGGACATGGCCACCGCCTCCTCCTCCTCCTCCTCCTCCTCCTCCTCCTCACTCCTCCCTGCTCCCTCCTCTCTCCTCCCTCCTCCCTGCTCCCTCCTCTCTCCTCCCTCCTCCCTCCTCTCTTCTCCCTCCTCCTCCTCCTCCGCCTCCTCCTTCCGCCTCCTCCTCGTCGTCGTCGTCCTCCTCCTCCAGTAGACATAGAGGACGGCAAACTGTCTCTTGTCGACACGCGCCCGATCCGGCTGAACGACCGTCATGCACGCTGATGCGCTCTCGCTGCAGCGCGCAGACAGATGCTGAGGCAACTCAGCCGCCTCTGGGTTGTACTGGTTCTGCGGTATGATCTGGATCGGGGTGGTGGCATCAATAACCTGGTGCACAAACAAGCGGAAACGGTAACAACCAAGCAGGAGACGTTGCAATGCAAATTGATGCAATATCCGTAGGTCGAATAGATAATACAGATGGCAAGCGGAAAACTACCATCGAGAAACGTGTTGACCTGTTCTTTTTTCTTCTTTTCCCCAACGGAAGCAGTCAGCAACAACTCATCGTGAAATCCGCTGCCGCTCAGGGTGGCCATCCCATACGCGCGAAATACGCGACGAGGCACGCACATTGCGAGCCGCGGCAAGACATCGCACCACGATGGAAAGAACTCAATGGCAATCTGGCGAGCGGCGTCAAGTTGAGTCATGGCTGCACCCAGAGTCGACGGGTCGGGCCCGCAAGTGGCAGCCGCGGGCAGATCACGAGAGACTGTGTTGAGTGATCAAAGGGATGAACTTTGCACCTGCAGAAAGAAGCACATGCAGCCATGGCTGGACATTTCACGATAACCGCTTGTGACAACGCATCCATGCATGTAGAGGATCGCCGAGCAGTGGTTGCATTCAGGGGCTCCTGCTTCTGTGCTAGGGAACTGGGCCCGTGTGGCGGTCTGGCGGCTATGTTGTCGCCGCCGCCGCCCCGTGGCCGCCTCGTCGCCGCCCGTCGTGTGGGCCTGTGTGGCGGTCTGGCGGCCATGTCGTCGGCGTCGCCGCCCCGTCGCCGCCACGTCGTCTGGCCCGTGCGGCGGTCTGGCGGCTATGTTCTCGCCGTCGCCGCCCCGTCGCCGCCTCGTCGCACAGCATAGACTGCTCCACACTGGCCCGTATGGCGGTCTGGCGGCCATGTTCTCGCCGTCGCCGCCCCGTCGCCGCCTCGTCGCACGGCATAGACTGCTCCACATAGAGCGCTGCACATAGGTGGCATCAGATCGATTGCGCAACCGATCTTGCACCGCATACAGATGTATACACATATATATATATATATATATACACACAGAAATTGCATCACATAGGATCCTCCAGACATATTTCACAACTTAGATTGAACCACGCAGGCTGCACCACGTATATCGCTCCACCTAGCATGCACAAGATAGGTTGCACCACGCAGATTGCACGACACATGTCGCCGAAAAACTTGTTCTCGACGCGCCAAAATGGACGACGCCGACACCACGGCAAACCCACGGCAAGCCCTGCGTCAAAGGCGGAATTTGCTCTGTTGGCCGATGCACCCTCTCAAAGACGGAAGAACGCGCGTCGGAACAAACGGCGCGGCGACATGCATTGGACCAACCAGGCTTCACAACACTTACTGCAAACAACAAAACGCACAATCTACATTGCACCACATCGGCTGCACATAAAGTAGTATAAGACATCTTTCCTCCTATATGAAACAAGTACAACTGTGAAAAACCTAACCAGTGGATGATATGAAATTAATGATACGGATCTTGAGATCGAGTGTGAGATCGATAATGAGATCGATGGTGGAATCGATAGAGGACGATTGTGAGGTCGATCGTGAGACCAATAATGAAATCGATTCAATGAGATCGATTCAATGAGATCGATAGGAAGATCGATCGCGAGATCGCTCGTGCGATCTCTAGTGAGATCGCTTGCGAGATCGATTGTGAGATCGATTGTGAGATCGATGGTGAGATCGATAGAGAGGTGGGAAATGAGATCGATGCTGCCACCGATCGATAAAAAGATTGACCAAAAACCCGGGAACCCGGGAACCTCGCCGCCCACCAAAATCGGCCCAGCAACCGGGAACCCAGGAACCGGGAACAGGGAACCCGAAAACCCAGCGTGCGATTAAAATCGGCGGGAAACTTTCGCCAAATCCTCCAACGTCCGCTAGGATCCCTTCAGTGCAAGCACTGATTGGAGAATATTCGGATCTACCCCCTCTCAGATTTCACCGCCCCCCTTCTTTGCATTACATATGATTCTGCCCCATCGTCCATCCTAAATATGAACTCATAGCATCTCAACCAAGCTGGTAACGGTTCCCTCCTTTCATCCTCTGCAACATTTACTATGCGCGCACACTCGTTTATCACAACTCACACGTTTTCAAAGACTCCTGGCAAAACATGGGGCGGAGTGCACACGCGCGCGTTGTCGCGCTCGCAAGCCGAAACCCTTCGAACAGATGAGACGTTCGTGAGGATTTCAAACTAAACCACATGGTTTCGCAACATAGTTTGTTCCAGAAAATGCGCTCGCGCTCTTGCGAATTCTCGAGAGAACCATCGGTTTATTTCAACAAGGTCAGAGAATGCTTCCAAATGTGCCTCTCGCGCGCGCATGTCGAAATCGTTCGCATGCCCTTGCGCTCGTGCGGTCGCTAGAATCGCTTGCAACACATGTGACGGACTGCACACGCGCGCGTCGTCGCGCCCGCATGCCAGAAATCGTGAAACACCACTGGTTTCGTCAGGATTTTAAAACCACGTGCCCAGAAGACATATACAACACATATGGTTTTGCAACATCCGTTTTCCAGAAAAAAGAAGCTGCGCCTGCGCTCTTGCGAATTCTCAAGGAAGCCCTACAGTTGCCACCATTTTCATGGCGTTCTGCTGGGCGTGCATTTCGCGCCGCATATCGGCATCATTCGAACGCCCCTGCGCACGTGCTGGGGAGCACGATGCGTGTCAAGAGGGGAGTGCGGGAATCAGGATGAGGCAGCCTGCGCGGGCGCTACATGGAGCTCCCTACTATGGGGACCCGAAGCGTGTTGAGGGTTTGCCGAAAGTGGCAGGAAGGGGGGGAGGAGTGGGTGGCGGGATTCGAAGAGACCTGCGGCGCGGCGGATTCAAATCGAAGACCCTCCAACGCGGAAGGTTTGGGATACAGATGCAACAGATGGACCCGAGGTGAGGTGTTGACTGGCACGTAGGAGTTTTGCCCATTGTACGCGGAGTTGCATGCAGATGCGCAGCTTCGGCACCGCGATTGCAGACGGCCGAAACTTAACCACTGTAAGAATACGTTTCCGGACTGCGCAACGGATAGAATCCCTTCTGCCCTCTGGGCGCAGATGGTCTAACGGTGTCTCCTCCAAAATCTCTCTTGCGTTCGGGGAGCGGTACCCTCCCCCTCCCTTCGGGGGGGAGGGGGCGGGAGGGGTTAGAGCGTCCAAGAAGGCCTCGGCGAGACGGCAACAATCATTGATTTTACCTGTGGGGGGAGCCTAATTAAGGGCGCCCCCTTCTTTGATCGATTTCCTCCAAGATGGCCCCCAAGAGTGCCCCAAGAGTGCCCCAAGAGGGCCCCAGGAAGCCCCAAGAGGGCCCCAAGAGGTCCCCAAGAGGCCCCCAACAGTCCTCCAGGAGGCCTCAACAGGCTTCCCCGAGACACCCTATAGACGCTCCAAGGGGCCCCGGGGGCCGCCAAGAGGCCCCAAGACGCCCCAAGAGGACTCCAAAAAGCTCTCACGAGACATCCGAAGAGACTCCGAGAAACATCCAAGAGACCTCTGGCCGTTCTGTTCGCCCTCATGCTCCTCCTCCTCCTCCTCCTCCTCATTACCCTTTTCTTTCTCATCCGCCTTTTCCTCCTCCTCCGTCCTCCCTCCTCCCTCCTCCCTCCTCCCCCTCTCCCTCCCCCTCCTCTTCTTCCTGCTCATCCGGTTTCCCCTGCTTCCTCTCCCTCATGGGGTCTGACCGCTTCCCCAGCGCTTTATTCCACTGCAGGCTCCTCCACATCACTGATCAAGGCAACTCGCCTGGGCACCGTTTCTGGATAGGCTGGTGGGGTCATGCAAAGCGTCTATGATTACTTGCGAATCTACCAGAACGGCGGAATATACGGCTATGGACGCGCACGACAATTCCAGAGACGTACGGCTAAGCAACGAGACGGAAAGGATGGCACATTGTGTAGGCCGTAGGCGGCGCAGGAAGTGGGAACGAAGGACGTATAGAGAAGGATATCCACCAGACAGTGTTTGCACTAAAGGTCGCGCGCGGCCGCCCTCTTCTCCTCCCGGCTCTCTTGCGCGCCGGACGATTCGCCGATCGGTGCCCCCGATTAGCCCGAAGCTGGTGCGGATCGCCTCCGCCTCGCCGCCGACAAAACCATTTTGTGCACCACGGATCTTAGCTGCCCCGATACGCAACACGCAACACGTGGCGTACTGATACGGAGCTCAACACGTGGACTGGAAACGTGGGTCCGACGCGATGCGTTCGCCAAAACGTGGGCCAATGCGTGGAGTCATCACGCAACGTATTGACACGGACGTCTTGAACACGGGACGTGTTGCGTTTCAGCACGCCCACATCGAGGCAACTGCGCCAGGGATCCTCACTCGCGCTCTTCACCACTCTGGGAGGGCATGCCGGCATTTGTCGCCGGATGCCCGGTCTGTGGCCGCCCGTGGGCCCGCGGAGGGGCCCCCCGTGGGCGCCTCGTGCTGGGAGTGTGCCGTCGAGCGGTCGCCGTCGTCGTCGGCGGCGGCGTCGTCGTCGCCGCCGTCGCCGTCGTCGCCGTCGTCGCCGTCAACGTCGTCGTCGTCGTGGTCGTCTTCGCGAGCGCCTCGTGCCGGGAGGCGCGTCGAGGGCTCGCCCGGTGGCCTCCGTGGGCGCCGCCTCGTGGGCGCCAAAAAAACTGGAGGCCGCACAGAGCCGGCGCCGCGCAGCCTGCGCCACACGGACGCCGCCACGCGCCCTGAACCACACAGGTCTTGCCAGAGTTGAGGAATGAAATAACGCCCCTACCCTGGCTTGCAAGTGCGTGGTCAGGAAACCTCCTGGGACCTCCGACAGGCCAGAGAGCCGCCAGGACGCCGCGCGGCATGCGTGATACGCAGGGTTTGCCCCGGCAGCCCACAGGAGGTTCAGCGCACAACGCCTCATAAACCAGGGTAGGGGCGTTTTTTTCGCTGCAGTGGGGGCTCAACCACAGGGCACCTTCCACAAGAGGCCCAACCCTGAGACCCCAGGACGTCCACTGGCTTTCTTGGCGTAGGAGCGTCGCGCGTTGCATGGCACAAAAACCATCGAAGCCCAAGAAACCCCGCCGACCTTCCGCCGCCTTCCGCCACGGAAGAGATGGCAGCTCCTTCTACCCTCGAAGGCAAGGCCCTGCCGGGAAAAGCCTCACATAGGTTACATCACATAGGTTGCACCACATAGCTTAGGCCATACAACTTGCACCAACCAACCTACACCAAGCTCAGTGTTCCACACTACGTAAGCAGGTAGGCTACATCCAACTCGCATCGCCTAGCTAACGCAACAGATGCTCGATATCGACATATGTGTGTAAGTATCCTCTGTGTTGCGTACATGACGTATGATCTAAAGCGCATAGCTGAACAGGGCACTTCGAATCAGGATCTGACTGCAAGAGGGCTTGTGGGAACACTGGGCCAGGATCAACTACGTGATTATGGAGCAATCGCAGCGCTGCTACGTAATTATGGATCAATTCCTTCACGAACACCGGTTGCACGGTTCCGAACACCAAGGAGAACGCCTATCACGAGAACGCTGGCGAAAGTGATCTTGGACCCGAATCAATCAAACAGAAGGTTTTGATGGCAGTGCGGCAGAGACACTCAGAAGGGACGGGACGCTTTGGAATACTCTGCGGCTCCAAGGGGCGGCGTGAACCCTCTGGAGCTCGTAAATGACGAACTGGTCGAACGATCCGATCTGCTGGAAGACCAGGCCCTTCTCCTGCGGTTGCGGGCTGAGGAAGACGACGAGGCGACATGCGCATGGAGCCCAGAGGGATCACAAGAACTCCAACGCAGTCAAGCAGCCGAACTCCAGGGGGGAAGAGGGGGAGATGGATCAGGAGGAAGGAGGCTGCGTCGCGTGTTTTCCCTGGGCGCTGCCAACATGATTCGGAACCCACACTTGCAACATGTAACCAGCCTCGAACGTATCCCTGTCCCTAAGGTGGTCGAGCCAAACTTGAGGACAATCTTAGGGATAGGCCCTCAGAAACGGAGGGAACCCTTGAGATCGGCATCGAGGTGAGACTGATGTCAAACATAGGGAGGGAAATGTTCCAGGCTGGTAAACATGTACCATGCCTTTTCCAAGGGCCCTGCAAAGAACTCCGTTTGGCGGCCTCTTGGGCCGCGTCTTGCAGGCCCTGGGGCCGACCCCAAACACGTAAGCAGCTGAAGCACAGACGCACACGCTCTCGGCGACGCAGCCTCGCGCGAAAGGGGCGAGGCGCAGAAGGCCCAGCAAAAAGAGAGAGAGAGAGAGAAAGAGAGAGAGAGAGAGAGAGAGAGAGAGAGAGAAAAAAAAAAGAGGGAGACAGAGAGGCAGAGAGGGCGCGCGGCTGGCCCCTCAGAAGATGGGGCAGGGGACCGCCAGGGGATCCACCGCGGCATCCGCGTGCCTGGGCATGGTGAAGGGGCCCCAGGACACACACAGAAATGCACACAAATAAACATATTCCCCATAGTTCCCCATAGTTTCTGGGTTTTTGTCTTCCCCCCACTTCCCATATGTTTCCATATTTTCTAAGGAATCGACGATGAATTGATAATATTACCTAACAGGTAATATTACCTAGCAGCGAAGACTGATAGGTTTCTAGTGGTCTCAAAAGAGAGCATCATGACTCCCCAGGGGGGCCTGGGCAGATGCCGGACGGGTGCTCCGGGAATCCGGGGACTCCCCATTCTCACTGCCAGGAGCCACATTTTGACTGCCCGGAGGCAACAAAACACAACTCCCAGGCCACATTTTGAATGCCCGGAGCCAACCGCAGGCCACTTCGTGTTCTTCGTGCTCCCAGAACACCATCCCAGGCCACATTTTGAATGCCCGGAGCCAACTGTAGGCCACTTCGTGTTCTTCGTCTTCCCAAAACACCATTCCCAGGCCACATTTCGAATGCCCGGAACCAACTGTAGACCACTTCGTGTTCCCCGTGTTCCCAGAACACAATTCCCAGGCTAATTTTGAATGCCCGGAGCCAACTGTAAGCCACTTCGTGTTCTGCGTGTTCCCAGAATACCATTCCTGCACCATATTTTGATTGCCCGGAGCCAACTGTGGGCCACTTCGTGATCTTCGTGTTCCCAGAACACCAGTCCTGTGCATTATTTTGAATGCCTGAGCTGAGGCAGGCTGAGGCCGAGGCAGGCTGAGGCCGAGGCAGGCTGAGGCTGAGGCTGAGGCACGCCGAGGCAGGCTGAGGCTGAGGCTGAGGCAGGCTGAGGCTGAGGCAGGCTGAGGCTGAGGCTGACGCAGGCTGAGGCCGAGGCAGGCTGAGGCTGAGGCCGAAGCAGGCTGAGGCTGAGGCAGGCTGAGGCTGAGGCTGACGCAGGTTGAGGCCGAGGCAGGCTGAGACTGAGGCTGAGGCAGGCTGAGGCTGAGGCCGAGGCAGGCTGAGGCTGAGGCTGAGGCAAGCCGAGGCAAGCTGAGGCTGAGGCTGAAACTGAGGCAGGTTGAGGCATCCGTAGGAATGCATAGGAATGCTTAGGAATCCCTAGGAATCCTTAGGAATCCGTAGGCATCCTTAGGAATCCGTATGCATAGCTAAGCATCCTCAGAATCCTTAGGAATCCTTAGGATTCCATTGGATCCTAAGGCCATTGCCACTGCGACTGTCATTGCGAATGCGACTGCGACTGCGAGAACAGCAGAATTCTACAACTGGATTCTCACCTTACTCTTAAGGGGAATGCTTCCAGATATGCTTATACACATCGCTGTTAGGTTGCTTCGCCGGGATACTTTTCTCATATGTTCGGGGTTTTTGCCTTTCCCCCCCACTTCCCATATTTTCCCATACCTTCCTGGGAGTCGACGATCAATTGTGTCTGTGTGTTTTTCTTCCCCTCCCGATATGGGTCGTGGGGTCGGGGAACGGGGCACCGACAAGTGCCCCCCACACGGCGGAGAGCGACCCGCGAAGAGAGGCGCGCGGCAGCCCCCGAGCGGACATGGACAGGGCGCAGGGGCGGCCGACGAGGAAGGGCGGCGGGTGACCCCGTGGGGAGGTGGAGGCGGGAACCGGCGCGAGGAGGCAGTGGAGCGAGGACCGCACCGCAGGCCACTGCCTGTGGTCCCTGGACGCTGGGCGCACTGGCCCACGCCGTCGAGCACCGGGCGGGCCGCAGCGTGGCCAGTGCAGCGTGGCCAGTGCAGCGTGGCCAGTGCAGCTGCTCTTCACCAAGGCGAGCTCGCCCGGACTCGCCGCAAGCCCGCCGTCGGCCGCGAGCAGGAGGGGCGAGGAAGGGCAGGGCAACGCTGGGGCGCCGGCGCGGGCCAGGGCCCCCGGCGCGGCGACACGGGCGAGGTGCACCAGAGGGCACCCTCGGGGGGGAGGCCGCCCCCCGCCCCCCCCCCCCTCGCCACCCTCCACCCTGGGATGCATTCCCCTCCCCCCCTCGCCACCCTCCACCCAACTGGGAAGAGCGGCGGCGCGTGGCGGGCCGGGGGAGGGGACGCCAGAGTGAGAGCGCGGTCCAAGCGGGGCCGGGCGCCCTGCGGAAGAGCAGGGAGTCCTCTCTATCCGGGCCAGGCGCGCGGCAGGAAGGTGTGTGGGGGGGTTGTCTCCTGGGGGGAGGGCTGATAGGGGGGACGCGGAGCAGCCTTGCAGTGGTGAGCCCGTGGTGGGGGGGGACCGTCCAGCCATGGCGGGCGCACCAGGTTCGGGGAGACCTAGCACTCGGGTACGGGGGACTCGGGGTGACCTGACGGGGCCATCATAAAAATGACGAGACGCAGTCTGAAATTTGACGCGAGCTCCCGCTGCAAACATCCTACGAAAACTGGACCGCCAAAACCCAACACGCGCCCGTCAACACACGTCGGCAAACCGGAGTTCTGGCCTACTCGATTTCTACGTTTCCCCGACAGGTGCGGCGGGGATCCAGGGGGCCTGGGCAAGTTGGCCCAAGCGGCACACAGGGCAGGCGGCAGCGCAGCGGGTGTGCCCCATGCGGTCAGAGGAAGAGGAAGAGGAGGATGAGGAGGAGGTGGAGGAGGAGGAGCGGAGCGGAACGGAGCGGAGCGGAGCCGTAGGACAATGCGTCCTCCGAAACCGAAAAGGACACACAGCCTGGACATGGTATTGAAGCACACCTCCTAATCAGGTGCATCACATACACACTAGCACAGAAGAACAGCGAAGGGCTGGCGTGGTGAAGCCGCCGACGCCAGCGGGAAACCCGACGCATCAGCTACTCGGCACACCACCTGTAGCAGGGCGCATACCATCGGCGAGCCAGCCCCTGGCTCGCCGACGGGCGGGGCTCGGGGGGGGCCGCGGGGCAGGCCTCCCCGAGAGGGCACCGACCCCGGGAGAGCCGAGCGCCACCCCCGCGCCGCACCGAAGAGGCAGAGGCAACAAAAAGCGGCTCCGTGCAAGGCAGTGGGCCCGACGGCCGTCACGCTCGCAAGCAAGTCCGCCCACGCCCCTGTGGGCCCCGGAAACGGCAGGGCCGTTGTTCACCCTTTCCCCCCCCAAAAAATGCCTCGTTGGAAATGGAAACGACAAAACAACGGCGACCGGAAACGGCGAGTGGGAGGGAGGGGCGTGGGTAGGGGGCCACATGCGAACACCCCCCCCCCCACGATTTCTGGGGGGAAGGGCGTAGGGTTCGCATGCGGCCCCACCGTCGATTTCCGAGCGAAGTGAACCCCACCCTCCCCCCCAGAAATCGTGGGGGGGAGGGGTCGGGTTCGCATGTGGCCCCCTAGTTGGCCCCACGCCCCTCCCTCCCGCTCGGGACCACCACCCTCTCTGCTCCACGGCCCGGGCCAAGGCCCAGAGCATGAGGGGCGGAGCACACCTGGCACCCGGCCTCAGGAGCCGTGTGGACACTCGAGGGGGTCTTCGCCGACCAGCCGAGCAGCGCCTGCACTGCGCCGCGGCCGTCGAGCCAGGGGCCATGGGCACAGGGTCGGGCGCAGTCAGAACAAGCGTGTCGCACTTGCGCTCTACAGCCTTCGGGTGGGGGTGCATCATGCTCCTGGGCCTCGAGACGGGTGCAAATCAACTGAACCGCCCGCGACAGAAAAACTCCAACGTGAGCTTACAGTTCCGCACCTCGTTTTTAAAGGGAGGGCACTGACCGCGACTTCATCCATAGCCACGTCCATAGCTCCGAACTTAGCGAACACATCGCCCCACGCACTGCCCATGAATAACGCTCGTCGGGCGCCGCCTGCGCCTCGACGAGGTCCTCCAGCGCCCTGTTCTCGCTTCGTGGGCGTGAGATGCCATGGCCCCGTGGGGGCGGGGACAAGATAGACGATCCTGACCGGCACGGCTCTCGGCTTCCACTCGTCCCGCAGCCGAGAAAAGGCGGAGGAGGGCGGCGGCTCCGCGAAGAAGCTGTCGATGATCACCCAGGAGTCCTCCTGGTGCATGGGCTCCGGCTTCGCCTCCTGGAGGCCCGAGGCAATCCGTGCACGGCGCCCCCACCCCGCGGGAGGAGGACGAGGAGGGGGAGGAGGAAATTCCTCCTCCTCCTCCCCGTTCTCCATATGAATACTTCATATGTGTAGGACTCCACGTTTACCCGCTATTACTCCTCCTCCTCCGCCTCCTCCTCCCTCTCCTCCTCCTCCTTCTCCCCCACGATTGCTCCTCCTCCTCCTCCTCCTCCTCCTCCTGACTCCGTATGAGGAAATTCCTCCTCTTCCACGACTGCTCCATGTCAGTACGACTCCACGCTCTCCCGTGCTAGTGGGCGCGTGTATAGCCTCGCCTCTCTATCGCTTACTGCTGCTCATTATTTCTCCTTCCCGCCCCAACACGCCAGACTTCGACATGCTGTCTTTCCTACGGCTTGCTCCGATCGGGCCGCTCTGTCGGCTCTCCAGGTATGTGTGCTCACGCTGCAGCGTGCCCGTGTCCCGCCGCTTACAGCGGCACTCTCGCCCCCGCGCGCATCACGCTTCTAAGTCCGACTCGTTCCCTCGCTGCCGTAATTCCAAGCCTCCTACTCCTCACCCCCATTTCTGGCCATCGCTCGGACGCCCATTCCCTGTGTTTTTTTCGGTTTCGTACGTGGCTTTTTTCGCGAAATGATCAAGGATGTTCCTCGATGGCCCTCGCCGAAGGAAAAATGCACACGTCCGAGCGATGCCAAGATTTCCGGCGCCCCCGAACAACGTCCCCCACTGGACGCCTGCTACAGCCTTCTCTGGCACAAGCCCTTGTCTGCAAAGCCCTGGTGCCTGACGTCGTCGTGGCTCCTTCGAGGCAAACCTGGGTCTTGAAAGGCGTCGCCGCTAGACGGCGTCCGCTCGACGTACGTCGTCACTCGTTCGTCGGTCGCCGTCGTGGATCTCGCGGGCACCGGCGCAGCCGCTGACCGTCCGCGCCCGGGCAGCACGGGCTGGGCCTCCGTCGCGACAGCTGCGGTGAATGAGGGGGTGAAGGAGGGGAAGAGGAGAAGGAGGAGGAGGAGGAAGATACGGAGGAGGAGGGGGAGGAGGAGGGGGAGGTTCATGGTGGAATAAGCCCTCCCTCCAAGCTCCCTCTTCATAGGCCCCTACAACGGTTCATTTCCACTGAGGGAACTGCCTCGTTGGAAGACAGCCGTTTGAATACCCTGAAGCATGCCAACACATTATATTCGGGACTCCAACGCCACGGATCAACCTGACTGTTGCGTCTTGACGAAACTGAATCGTGCAAGAACGCCTTTCTTGGGACTTCAACGCCGCGAATCAACGTAACTCTTGCGCTCTGAAAATCCTGAATCTTAATCTTTTCCAAACGAATTTCTGGTATGCCGACACTGGGAATCCGTGAAACTCGTGCAATGCTTACAGAACAATGTGCGCGGCGCTGAGGCGAGAGCCACATTTTGAAAACGAACCACCCTAAGTCCATGAAGCGCTGGCAAAGTCTAAAACGAATTTGCGCGGCGCTGAGGCGAGAACCACATTCTGAAAATGACCCGCCCTCAAAATGTAAAGCTCTAGCATTTTTTCAATCGAGAGTGCGCTGCGCTAAAGTGAGAACCACATCTTGAAAACCACCCGCCCTCGATCTGTGAAGCTTTTGCACATTTCTCAAGCACACGTGTGCATTTTGAAAACCACCCGCCCTCATTCCGCGAAGCGGTTGCCAATGTTTGAGTTTCAGGGCCATAAGTGGTGAAGAAGACTCGAGCGAAACGCACGGCCCGACCTTTTTGACCTGTCTCGGGGTGCGTCAGGGCAGAAGTTAAGCATAAGGAAAAGGAACGTCAGAGGAGGATAAGGATGAGGATGATGATGATGATGATGATGATGAGGAGGAGGAGGAGGAGGAGGAGGAGGAGGAGGAGAAGGGGGGAGGAGGAGGAGGAGGAGGAGGAGGAGGAGGAGGAGGAGGAGGACTGGAAGAGGAGGACTGGAAGAGGAGGAGGAGGGAGGAGGAGGAGGAGGAGGAGGAGGAGGAGGAGGAGGGGGAAGGAGGAGGACGAGCAGCACGGTGATCCTCGAGGAGGAGGAGGAAGGAGGAAGAAGGAGGAGGTGGAGGAGGTGGAGGAGGAGAGAAGGAGAAGGAGAAGGAAAAGGAAGAGGAGGAGGAGGAGGAGGGAGGAGGAGGAGGAGGAGGAGGTGGAGGAGGAGGAGGAGGAGGAGGAGGAGGAGGAAGAGGCGCCGCCGCCGTCCGGCCGCGCCAGGGCAGCGCGGGGCGGGCCTCCACCTCCATGGCGGCGTCGCCGTCGCCGTCGCCGCCGCCGGGCGGCGGCGCGGCCGCCCCCCTGGGCTCCATGGGGGGCGCCTGGCGGGCGCCCCGCGGGGCGGCAGCGCCCGCGGGGGGCGGGGGGGGCGCCCGCGGGGCGCCCTGTTGGGAGGCGCGAGGACGCGGCGGCGACGACGGCGGCGACGACGGCGACGGCGGCGGCGACGACGGCGGCGACGACGACGGCGGCGGCGGCGGCGGGTGAGGCGGACGCGGCGACGGCGCGGCGACGGCGCGGGAGCCGCGCGGCAACGGGAGTGCTGCTGCTTAGGGGGGGCCCGAGGAGCAGGAGAGGGGGAGCAGGAGGAGCGGCCGGGGGCGGGCGGGGAGGGAGCGGGCGCGCCCCCCACCGCCCCAGCACAAGGCGTCGCCGAGCGCGGGGGCCGCGCGCCCCGCCGCCGCGCGCCCCCAGCCGCGCGAGGGCGTGGCGGCGACCGCGGAAGCCGGGGGGAGGCTGCCGAGGGGATGAGTTTCGGGTTCGAGGTTAGAGGTTGTCGGGTGTCTTCGTCGGCTCTCGACGGCTCTCCAGCCTCGGGAGAGCGTTCCAGCGGCCGCGCCTCGGCGAGGGCGTTCCAGGGGTGCCAGGATCGTCCGGAACGGCCGCCGAATACCCGAATTATGACCCCAAAAACCACATTCGGCGGCAACCGAGGGAGGGCTGCTGCCGACGTCCTAAACGAACTACACTTAACACGTAGAGTAAGGACGCACGCAAGGATGCAAAGACCTTGGAAGGCCATGCCGACACTCTGCGAGCGGGGCGCGGCCAGCGAAAGCGGTCAATGATGGGCCGAAGGAGAAGGATGCAGTGGTAACCTTCGAGAGTTGATCATCCTTACTATGCGGGTTCACTGTATCTCTTATCGCCTGGGGCTCCTACTCTTCCTCCTCCTCCTGCTCCTCCTCTTCCTCCTCCTCCTCCTCATCTTCCTCCTCCTCCTCCTCCTCCTCCTCCTCTGGACCTACTTAGCGGCCGGCCTGCTTTCACCCTCTTCGCACTTTGCTTGTGATGTCTCACCCGCTGCCTGGTCACTGATGTGGCGCGTCCGATGCTGAGGAAGGTTGGGAAAAAGAGGAGGGAAGGAAGGAGGGTCCTGAGGGTCCTGATGATTCGGCCGGCTCTTTCGGCCCCTGCCGCGCGCTCGCCGCAGGGGGTGGAACCTCCCGCAGCCCGCCGTACCAGCGCAAGGGTGCCCAACGGCCCACGCCGAGCCCCGACGGGCCCAGCAGCCTCGGAGGGAGGGAAGGAGGGAGGAGAAGATGGAGGGAGGAGCAGGGAGGACAAGAGCAAGGGGAGGAGGGAGGGAGGAGGGGGAGGAGGAAGGGGGTAAGGGAAGAAGGGAGGGCAAGATGGAGGGAGAACAGGAGACTCACCCGTTCCAAGTCCCTTCCACATGAGTCCCTGCAGGCACTCTCCTTCATCGAGAGATAGACCCCGAGCGCCACGTGAGTCCCGAATTCGGGCGGGAGCTCCGTTTGAGAGGCAGCAGCGGTGTCCCTGTTTTCTTTTTTGTGCGAGCTGCGAACAAGCGACAAGGTCAGGTTTTGAAAGCCAAGGGAGTGCCCGAAATTAGCCCCGCTCTGAAGAGGAGCAGCCCTCCACCCGTAGAGGTGTTGCACAACGTCGCTGGTCAAACGCCAAGATGAAGTCTCAGACGAGATACCCGTGTTGGAAAGGAGCAAGCCTCCATCTGCATACATGTTGCACATGCGTGCATGCGTGATATTCACTGACCCATGTCGAAACCGAACCGCCCGCCATCTTTGTAGCGAGAACGTCTGCGAACACGGCGACACGCTGGGCTACGGCGAGAACACCATGTTGAAAAGGTACTGGCCTCAATCGTTGCAAGTGCCGCGAGCTTCTCATACGAATGTGCGGGGCGCCGAGGCGAGAGCCACCCGAGGGAGGCGATGAACTACATTTTCCGAACTTTTTTCTGGCGCCCTTGGATTTTGGATTCTGGGCTCTTCCTGGCGCCGAACGCTACCCGGGGCGCCTTTGGATGTGTCTGGCCCAGGGGGGTGTTTTCAGCAGCTGCGCCTCGCCGGGCTCCTCCTCCCACACCGGTGCCCGAAGCGTCCCGATCGGCCGACGGCGTCCTCTGGAGAGCACCTGGCCTCCACGCGTCCGACGGTCGATGTTCAAGGGGGCCAAGGACACACAAATAAATACACACAAATAAAAGGATTCCCCATAGTTTCCAATATTTTCAGGATTTTTGTCTTCCCTCCCAATTCCCATATTTTCCCATATTTTCTTAGGAATCGACGAGTTTCCATACTTCCCCATATTTTCCAACAATTTCCAATCTTTCTCTTGTGTATGTGTGTTTGTTTCCCTCCTGAGATGTGTGGAAACTCTAGGACAGTGGACCGCAAAGAGGTGTCCAACGAAACGCCCGGACCGGCCCACAGACACGTCTGCGTGCGTGACAGGGAGCACCGATTCGCAGGAGGGAAGAAACATTGAGAGAGGGGCGGGAAAGAGGAGGAGGAGGAGGAGGAGGAGGAGGAGGAGGAGGAGGAGAGGGACCAGTGCTAACCCAAGACTCATCAACGATGTTGGAATACACCCTCCCTCCAAAATCCCTCTTCGCAGGCCCCTACGAGGGGTCATTTCCACTGAGGGACTTGCCCCGTTGGGGGACAACCGTCTGAGCATCCTGAAGCATGCCAAAACACCATTCTCGGCATTCCAACGCCATGAGTTAACCTGACTGGTACATCTCGGCGATCCTGAGTTTGCCAGAACACCATTCCTGGGATTTCAACACCGCGAATCAACGTAACTGTGACCCCCTGACAATCCTGAACCGTTTCAGAAGGCCACATCTGGTAAACTACACATCAAAACCAAGGAGACCTTTGCAAATGTTTAAAACGAATGTGCGCGGCGCTAGGTGAGACACACATTTTGCATACGAGCCGCACTCACTTCGTGAAGCTCTTGCGCGCAATCTAAAAACGACTGCGCGCAACACTAAAGCGAGAACCACATTTTGAAAACGACCAACCCTCAATCCGTGAAGCTCTCTCTCTATACAATGTTTAAAACGAATGTGCGCGGCGCTACGGCAAGGGCCACATTTTGAAAACGACCCGCCCTCAATGCGTGAGGCTCTCGCCAATGTGTAAGACGAACGTGCGCGGCGCTGGGGCGAGAGCTATCTTTGGAAAACGACCCGCCCTCAAACGTTGAGTCTCTCGCAGAAGTCGTACAACGGATGTGCGCAACAGTAAAGCGATAACCACATGCTGAAAGCGGTCCGCCCTCAAACAGAAAGGATCCCCCTGCAATTTTAAGAAAGGGAATGTGCGCGGCGCTAAAGCGAGAGCCACATGTTCAAAACGACCCGCCCTCCATCTGTGAAGCTGCAGCGAATGTTTTAACATCTGGCCCATAAGTGGTGCGGAAATGTCAAACGAAACGCCGGGCCAACCCTTTCGACCGGCGCCGGGGTGCGACAGGGGCGCGTTATCTATGAGGAAAACGAATGCAGGAGGAGGACACGAAGGACGCTTGATGCATAGAGCTCCTCTCCCCCATCAAGCAACCCTGATCTAGGCGATAAAGTACAGTCGGTGGCGCCAGCCACGGTGATATGACAGAACGCGAATATTTGTGCTCGGGGACCCTGGCACGAAACGCAAGATACTCGAAGCGAGGCCCGAACGCGGCGACCTGCAGGGTGGCCCGCAAAGAAGCGCAGGTGCTGCAGCGCAGCGGGGCAGGGCTTGCTCCGAGGCCCATCGCCCTCGGCGCTGCACGGCCGACGCCTCGCGGCAGCACGCCAGCGCGTCGCGGTGCGGCTCGCCGTGCTTGCAGAACAGGCAGGCGCCCCCCCCCCTTCTGACCACGCCCGCCGCGCGGGCCTGGGCAGGAACTCGCAGGGCCTGCGCGACACTTGGCGCGCCAGGGCGTGGCGGGCTTCGAGGAGGAGGGGGAGGAGGAGGAGGAGGAGGAGGAGGAGGGGGAGGAGGAGGAGGAGGAGGAGGAGGAGGAGGAGGAGGAGGAGGAGGAGGAGGAGGAGGAGGGAGGAGGGGGAGGAGGAGCGACACCTGGCGCGCCAGGGCGGCGTGGTCGACGCGGCGCTGGTCGGCGACACCCCTCTGCCGAACGCCCGTTCTGGTCCGTTGCTGCGCCCGTGGCGCGTGTGGCGCGGTGGATCTCGGCGGGCCTCGGGCCAGCGGACGGCCCCGACCGCCACGTCGGAGCCAGGACCGGCCTCGCTGCCGTCGTCGGCCAGTCTCTAAAGGGAAATTAGGACACACAAATAAATACACACAAATAAAAATAGTCCCCATATTTTCCCATATTTTCTGGGTTTTTGTCTTCCCGCCCAATTCCCATATTTTCCCATATTTTCCTGGCGCTCGACGATTAATTGTGTCTACTGGCCTCGCTTGACGACCTACCAGACCACCCCAACCCAACCCGAAGACCCGAATTTCGGGTTGGGGGGGGTATGGGTTCCACATGTGTTTTTTCGATGTTCCCGGACCCCCCCCCCCCACTAGAGATCGAGGGTAAATCTGAGCCTTCGGGTGGGGTTGGGGTGGTTTGGTGGGTGGTGATCGCTGCCGTTGTCGGCCAGTCTCGTCGTGGCCTCGCCCAGGCGAGGCCCAGGGGTTCCGATGACCGACGTGCCCCTCTTCAGGCCGCGCGGGGGGCCATGCCAAGACCGGCCGCGCGCGATCGGAGCGCACCGAAAGCCACCCCAAACGAGGACGCACGTCAGATACGGCCGAACGCCACCAAGTCTCCTCGGTTCGGCCCGGCCCTCCGTCCTCCATCCAGAGGTACCTGACTTTCCGGCGGGCATCATCTTCGAGTTCTTCTCGAGCGCGATCTCCAAGAAACGACGAGTCTGGCGCGCAACAGCTCAGCACCATCCGCCAACACCTCATCTTGCTCTGGCGCCGGCTTCTTATCTACACCCTCCACCTCCCCATCCTTGCTTTCG